CAAATCTATACAATGTTTTCACATGCATTTTTTTATCTTATACAAATTCAATCCTTTTTTTCTTTCTTCAATTTTTTTTCTGAAGTTCCTTGGGTTTTTATGAATCCTTTTATTTTTTGAAGCTCTTGAACTTTAACTTTTGAGTTGTTTGGCCTATTATTTTTTTTTATCTTCTGGACCTTTGCTTGCAAGTTGGCCAGTAGTTGGTTATTTACTATTTGTTTCAAAGGAAATTTATATCTTGGTTGGATAGAAATAGAAATACTTTAAAATTTTTGTTTTCAACTATAGTAAAAGGTTGCTGATCTATAATAATTCAATTAATAAATAGTTTGTGTTTTCTTGTTGCTGCAACTTAGCAATCCAGAAACCTAATTTAGCTTTAGTTTTATTCATCATTTTAGTTTTTATTTTCATCAAGATGATATTTTTCAGTTCCAATAGTTGTTATCTGCAAGTATTTAGTTCATTCTGTGTATTTTCCAATTGTTCTATCAAAAAGAAAATTATAATACCTAGAGTTCCAAGCTTATATGCTACATGTCCTGAAGCTAATTTGAAATACCAATAAGTTTTTATCCAATTATTTTTCCTTCATACCAAGTAATCAAACATTTTTATTAAATTTTAAAAAAATGGTTGATTTTTTTCTTTTCTGAAATAAATTTAGGTACTTATATATATGAGCGAGTAGTTTGAAAGCAATGCAAGTATAACTGAGAAAATTGTTTTTTTATGCATCTGTATCCTATATATTCTTTAAGTATATTAATGATTTTTGGTACTTTTTTGTATAAAGTAGGTTTGTTGTCTATTTAATAAAACTTCTTTGATAAATTTTACTGGAATTACATTAAGAATAATTATTATTATAGAATTGTAAACTATACAGTATTTTTGTTGTTCTTTTTCTTGTAGATCTACAAGCATATAAATAATAGTCTATTTAATAATAATAAATTTCAAAAGTTTTTAATTTATTATTTTCTTATTAAAAGTTTGCCATTTCTGATATTAACTTTTAGCAGTTTTTTTTGTTGTTTCAAGATGAATGACAATATACCATGACCAAAATATTTACAAGCTCCTTTTATAGACTAAGGAGAATGTCTGCATAAAATTTATCCATAGTTGTTATGAATAAGAAGGATAAATATTATGAACGATTAATATGTATGGCCAATAATGGATTGTAATATTAGTTATATAACAAAAAATATTAATATGTATGAAATGGAGATAGTTGAAAAAATAATGAAGGTCAAAAACTTGCAATTGGATATGTTAACAATTACAATATTTCGTAAAACCAATAAAGTTTTACTAAAATAAGCTAGAGACCTAGAGCAAAAGGATTATTTGAATAAGAATTATAAATTCATAAAATTTCCTTCTTTATGAAGAGTTTGGTCCTCTGTAACAAGCTCCTTTACCACTTGTTAAACATTTTTATTATCTGAACTTTGTACCAAGATGACAAATACTCTGCATTCTTCTGGAAAAGCTCTTTTTTCACTTCTTGTTGGCAAGCATATGAATGACAGAAATGACATTTTTGATGTTTTTTGAAGCTTTCTTGACATGGCTACCCTTCATTGAAATGACAATGCATGCACTCAATCTTTGATAAGAATATTCTGATATAGCTTTAGTCCTGCTATTTGTACTTCTATAATTGTTTCCATAGAAAAAATCCAGTAGTTTTCAATGATACTAATATTACACTATCTTCTGAATTATAATATTTGAAATTGAAGAGGATTACTTGCTCCCATAAGAAACATATTACTTGTTTCTATAAATTGTTAGAATACCCAGCTTGGGCCACCCATGCATAGAAGAAAAAGCAGTATAGGAAGTAAGAGAAAAAGAGATTACAAAGTTTCTGAGTCCCCATTGTGAGTTTCATAGTAGGTCTACACCATTGGACACATAATTTGTTGGTATTCATAACTAAAGCAAACAATAGCTTTAGAAAAAGAGTTTTAAAAATTTAAAAACAAAAAAGCTTGTAAATTGCAAGCTCATATATAGTATTAAAATAAATTTTGTCATTGTCTAGCCAAGTATTCTCATAAATATTCAAATAATATAGATAATAATTTAGAACCAGTTTATGTCCATAAAATTAGAATAAATAAATTAATGAATTTACTAAATTATTCACTAGCTAGTTTGCAGTGTATGTTTCAGGTTATACTTCTTTTGATAGTTGTATAACAGGGTAAATTACTTATAGTAGAAATCAGGCCTCAATTGTTTGATTTATCTTTTACAAAAACCATTATTACTTCATGGTATTCATTTAAAACAGCCAAAAATACATTGAATGGTTGATTTTTTATGTTCCACACAAATGAAGCTATTTTAAATGTATGGTCACTTAGTATTCTATTATTTGACAAATTTTAATCTAATATCAGTAGAAACTTTAAAGTAAGAAAACTTGAACAAACTATCTCCCAAGACCCTTTTCCATTCCTCTTTAATCTTCCAAATTACTCTTGATGTAGCAATTTTAGAGATAAAGCATCCTTAGCTATTAATTATTTTAATTAAGAACATTAATTGAAATAGAAATTCCATCTGATTTTTTTTACTACTATATGTGACAATTTTTTTTCTTTAAGATTGTGATAATTGATTATTGGATATTTTATGGCAATTAGGATACATTCTAATAAATTAATCATTTTTAAATTGAAAGAAATATTTAAAGTATGACCAAACATGCCAAAAAGTAGAGTTTTCTTCGATTAGAATTATTGAATTGATAAATAATTTCTATTAATGAATTCTATTTCCTATATTGATAATAAGAATGCATTTATCTCCTTATCAATTCTAAGAATAAATTCAAAATTATTATACTGAAATCCATCCAGCTATGATACCCAGTTTAAATATTTTCTTGTATTAAATTATTTAACAAAAATATTCAATATAACATGTCATAATATTTTAGTTATAATTTTCAATATATGCATAAACTTGTTTCTTTATTGTAATCAATCTTACTTTGAAGGATTGGTTATTTTGAAATTCATCCTTTCTTACATATATGTTGAATACGGAAGATTTGCAAGTAATAATGTAAATTTATAATTTTAAGGAGTTGTGAATTTAATATATTAAAAGGAATAATCCATAGGTAACATTTCTGCTAATATATTATTTGTATATATTACTATGAAATATGAATATTAAATTTTATTAATGGAAATGCTCTATAAAACTAATTTTCTCTAATAACAAGCATAATGAAATAAGTATATTAGAAAAATATTTAAATTTTAAAAAAGGGAAAAAATATTTTTGGAATGGTGGAATGGCTTGCAAAGTTCTACTTATAAAGTCAATCATGTGCAACAATAACTACCATAATACTTTACTGATCACAAGCATCTAATCAAATGCTTTGATCTGTTTTTTATTTTTGTTGTTGAGGCTTTTTCATAAATAATGAAAAAGCCTTTATTTTTTTTGATAATCAATACATCATAATTTAATATAATTCCATTTTTATCAAAAAATATGATAATTTTTTTACTTTGGTTTTTTCTTGACTTCATTGATTTGCAACATATATTTAATGAGAATAGATAGCTAAATGAGAGAAAACTCATAATCCTTACAATAACAGGCTTAAAAATTCTTTTATAATGAAATTATTATATCAATAATGTTTATAACATTATGTAAAGAAAAAGCTTGCCATAGCCACCAGTCTAAGCCAGAAGGCTTTAATCTTAAGTGGTTGAAGATTACATATCATATAATCACCTGAGGCCCAAGTGAAAATTGGTCTGGTAACTTTATTATGCTGACACAACTTACGTCATAGGGTGATACAAATGAATCATCTGTTATTTACAATATAATAACCAATAATTCATGAAGAATCATTTTTTGTTAGAATCAATCAGATTACATTACAAAAAATTTAAACATAATACCTCAATATGGTATTTACAAACCAAATTGTAGTTATAAACAGATTAACAGATTTCTCTTTAATAACTTAACAAGAAATTGTCATTTGGGTACAATGATAAATGATTACAATTTCAATCATCGTATGAAAATTCAAAAAATATAATATTCACATAGGGATATAGATTTTCTTTCGACCTTCAATTGTACATATATTGAAATAAGTTGTTTGTGAAAAAGAAAAGTTAAATAAATAACAAATACATAAGAAAAATTAATAAATTCATAAATTTCTATTGTATTAATTATTAGATAATTTTAACCTGCTCAAGAATTTTGGGTCATTTAATCCAATAAAATTTACTTGTCCATTTTTAATTTTTTAATTATTTACTATTACTATTATTTTTTTTAGACGTCATATAACACACATTATATTGTATCTTAATTTATAGATTGGGATGGAGACCTTCTGTTTTCTAACATTCTATTACCTTTTTGTGAACAAAAATACTGAACTGGAAACATTATTTTACTATTTTTTTTAATTACACATTTGAACAATTATTAGTTAGATATCGACAGAAAAAAAAATTATTTCGAAAACTAATAAATAAACAAAATACGGATAGTAAAGAAAATTGCTAAAGCTTGATATTATATCCATTATATTGTTCATAAGAATTTAAATATAATAATGAATTGAACCATAAAAAAAAATTCAAACTTCAAAATTTTATTAGAAATTACCAAAAAAAATTGATATATTATATATAATACAGTAATTTGTTAGTTAAATGGTAAATAAGATTCTTTCAGTGATTTTCTTGACCTGATAAACATACTTCTCAGTTGACCGTTAAAAGCCCATAATGCCAACTCTTTTAAGTGAATTATCTAATCATAATACATAATTGAATAATTTTATGAAGTAATTATTGATAAGTTATAAATATAAAAAAAAAAAGAAAACAAATTATTTATATTACAAACTAAGAATCATGATTAGATATTTAATCTCACTACTCTAGTACCAGTGTTTAAATAATTTATACATATAAAAAATATCATTCATCTATATCTAAAAATTTGATAAAAAGAAAGATTTTAGATTTTTCAAATTAAATAAAATTTCAAATAATAAAATAAAGAATACTCACTATCCGGAAGTTCCAATTCATCTTGTCCTTCCAAATGAAGATTTGGATTGTTATTTATTTCATCATCTACAAATAAAATAATTATTTAAAATGTATTAAATTAATTATTATTATTATTATTATAAACAGTTTAAATAATAATATTGCATACCGTTAATATTATCATGATATTTTTTCATTTGTTGTTGCGTTGTTTCTTGAATATCTAAAAATTAAAATAACGTTATGTTCAATATTAAACAATTAAATTTGATAATATTAATCATTACTTACCATTTTTTTTGAATATTTTGGATAATTTTTTACTACCAACTAAAAAGTTTAAAATATAAATATTAATTGTTTGATTATTTATCTAAAAGAAATAATATTAAATATGTTTTATATATTACCTTTGAAAATGCTATTTATTTTTGAACTATTCGTCTGATTATTCAACTTATCAAAATCATCAAGTATCTTATTATAGTGACATAAATCTAATATACTTACTGTTATTGGGAATATGAAAGTTATATGATTTATTACTGTGAAATGCTAATAAAAGAAAATAATTTATTATTTAATTATTTAAAATAAGAAATATATATAAAATTGTAATGTATAATTTATACCTTCTTGTTCTTCTGCATTATTATTTTAATAATTAAAAAGGTAAGATTTTAATTATTAATATCAACCATATATTAAAAATCAACAAATTTTAATAATACCTTCTGCTGCGTTTCTTGGTTCAGGAAGATTTTCAAATTAATAAACTTTACTCTTAAATAATCTGCTATATAGTATTCTAAATCACCTATTTCCAAATTATTATCTTCTTCCAGTTTGGTTAATAATTCATTTGGTTTATTTTGGTAGTAAAAATTAAGTTCTCTTATTCTTTTCCTAAGTGTTTCAATATCTGGTCTATTCAATGGATTAGCATCCCAACATTGTATCATTAAATTTTTATATTCTAAAGGAGTTCCTGATACAATTTTTGGTCTTATACCATTAATAATATATATTGCAAGATCAAAATCATGTTCATAACTAATAAATGGTGGTCGTCCAGATGAAATTTCCCACATAAGTATGCCAATACTATAAATGTCAGATTTAAAATAGTTACTTTTCCTGCAATAACTTCCGGTGCAATGTAGGGAAGATTTCCATATATAGTACTTTTTAATGGTTTATCTGCAGGTCCACAAAATCCAAGGTCTCTAATAAAAAATTTATCACCAGATAATATATTTCCAGAATGCAAATCTCTATGAATCGCATTCTCATTATGAACTCGTAAAAGTGCTTTAATTATACCAGCAGCAATTTGAATTCTTTCTTTCCATGTAAGTTGATTATGATTTTGTTGTAAATATTTTCTTAAATCTGTATTAAGTTTATTCATTACAAGCATATAATCTCCATTTAATGGATCTTTTGTTAAACCAAAACATTAAACAATCGCATCTGACCATCTATTACATATATTTAAATGCGAATTAGCCTATAAAATAAAGAATATATTATAAAAAATTTTAAATGAAAAATTACTATACCGTTTTAGATTACAAACCTCTTCAAACCAACGTTTATTTGCACTTTCAACATTTTCTAATCTTTTAAGTACTACTCGTTGTATTCCAAATCTTTTTAATTGTTGTTCATTAGAATCCCATTCATCATAACCTCCATCAACCCATTCTGCTGTATAAATTTCAGAATATCCACCTTTTGTTAAATATTTAATATTTTTTAAATTATTATATGGAATCCATTCAATTATGACATTCGGTTCAAGTGTTTTCATCTGACATTCTTGTATTAAATTATCAATATCATCATTTCCAGATGTCCAATTTGAAAAATTATTTATTAAATAATTTCGAACACAATATTCACAATATAATGTAGCTAAACATTTTTGGTTACAATTTTCACAAACTCTACTTGTTCCCTTATTATAAATAATTTTATTTTTAAGATGAAGTCAACATTCTTATTGCTTCAGATTTTTCATTTTTTGTAAGTGATTCATTAGCAAGAATTGTTTGTTTTTGAAATTCAAATTGCTTGTGTATGTCATTGTGAATATTAAAATCCGTTAGTGCATATGCTTTATTAATTGCAGTATAAATTAAATCTTTTCTAGTAGCAGAGTAAATTTTTATTAAATAAATCTAAAATTTTTTTTAAATTTTATCGAGAACGGTTTATTTATATAGTCAATCATGTGTAACAATAACTGTGTATGTACTACTGTACTAAAACCTAATTTTTCACTATTAAGGAAAATTATTTTTCCGAAGCATCGAAAATTTATATAATACTATAATACCGTTTTTTATATAATTTTTTTAATAATCAATTTTTTTTTTTATTACTCGATGATCGTAAGTACTGTAACTTTTAAATAAACGTCAAAAATTTAGATTTAATCACATAAAAAAAGTTAAATTGATAAACTAATATTATATATGATGAAAATTAGTAATATAAAAATATTTTAAGAATGATTATTTAAGTCGAATTATTTTCTTAAAAATTAATAAGTTGCTCTTCTGATATGGAAAAATCTGAAAGTTCGGAGGGAAAGTATCTATAAGGCAACACGGCATGCGTGTCACGACTATTTTTTTCTTTTTTTTTAATTTTAATTTTTAATATTTATCATTGAAAGGTTCATAAAATTATTATTCGTTTTTGTCTATAATAACTGTAAAAAAATACTAAAACTATTTTAATGCTTATGAGAAGAATAAAAGAGGCATCCAAGTCGATTAAATTTCGTGAAAAAAAAAATTTAAGCATTAGAAGCTAGGAGAAACTATAGAAAAGAAGTGAACTTAGTATTGTTGTTTAAATACTTCATGATAAGAGCCAGGTACAGAAAATCTAGCTTCTTCTTAATGCCATTCCCCAAGTTCCTCCGTTACTAGTTCTCCATTATTTTATTTTTTTTATTTTTATATTTTTTTGTTAATAAAACGTATTCTTTATTAGGATGAAAAAAATACAAATTGCTCAAACTATTGCAGAAACACTTGGGCCATACAGGTAATGCATGAACGCTCTCTATATATCAACATACGGTATGAGCACATAATATTAACCCTATAACTAACCGATCAATCGCTATACACTATGCAAACGCTATAAGATAATTTATAAAAAGAAAAGCAATAAACTAAATACACGTTTAATTGTCCTTTATACTTTTTTCAATTCAATAAAATGGCTTGAAAAGTTGGATATTTTATTCTTGTCTTTTTTCTTACCGTTTGCCAATCGTCGTTGTTATTATTGTTACTTTCTTCTTCTTGCTCTATAACGTGTTTCTTCCCTTGTTTTTCGTCATCCGTAGATTGCGAAGGCGTCGAAGATTTTTCTCACCTAATATTCCTGACTTGAATTTACTGATCGTTTCCATAACTTTATCAACCGACGGTGGTTTATTTGGCGTACTTTGATCTTCTCCTCTAAACGTGCGTTCATTTATCTATCCTTAGTCCTTTGGTTTCACAAAAATAGTCTAATTCTTGAAAAGGCATTTCAACATCCTCAGAATTTATGCTACGTTTTGAGTAGTGATGTCGACTTAACTGATTGGTTTTAACAGAATTATAATTAAAGCAGAAAACCAACGTTGTTTTTTAACTTGTTAAATCACTAGATACTAGATCTGAGTAATGTATTTTTAGCCTTTTCGGACATGAGATTTCAGCTTGGATTATGAAGGTATATTGGAAGGAAGAATGTTAGTATTTTTTTATAATTGGGAACGTTATTAATGTTCCTTTTTCTTTTTTTCTTTAGGAGACGCCTTAATTTCGACTTTTATTTATTACTAAACATAAAATGTAATGAATCTAATCTAGTTGTAAAAATTCTATGGCAAATCTGAATATAAAAAAAATTAATTTGATAATTTCGAAACGTTTAGAGTGATTATGAACGTAAATTATCAACATTTTTGCCCACGTTTGAAAATTCTTTTTGTTTAAAATTTGTTAAAAATATACTTTGATTAATTTTCTTTATCAAAAACAAATTTCAAAAAGAAAGAAAAATCAAATAAAAAATTTATAAATTTCAAAAAGAATTCTTCAAAACACAAACTTAAAACTAATTAAAATGAATCAAAGATATATCAACGCAATACTTACTACCAAACCAGTCGTTATTATCGCTTCCGAAGTAACCAAACCTAATTAAATGTAAACGACAATTTAATATATATTTAAGATATATATTTGAAACACGTTCAGGAAACAATTTCGAATTATATTATTTAAGAATAAAGTTAGCCTGGTATTCTGATGCTAACTTATAAATTTGAACATCCAAATATCTAATTTAATTCTTTTAATTTCTTTTTTGTATAATTATTTTATAATTTTTTTCAGGTGTGGTGTTGTAATATAAATTATTTGAAAAAATTATTTATATTTAGTACTTCTCTTGGCGCGTCTGTAGAGACCAATTCCTAACGAAAATATACACAAACTGGTTAATAATACAAGGATCTTTGGGAAAGGATAAATTTGAGTCAGATATACGAATGGTACTTAAAGGAAATTTAGAGAACAATCGGTAAATATCGGTTTTATTAATGAATTATAGGTCACTTTTTTTTTCTATCGTTACAAGAGGCTACTTATAAAAAAAATTCATCTAAGATCGAAGGAGATCTAGATCTCGAATCGTCATATATTTAAATAAAACTAGTTCTGCTAATTATGTATATTACAAATATAAAAATAACAATAAAACAAATAATAATAATAAAATACGTAATTAATTTAACAAAATAAAACCTCCTCCTTCCTAAAAACGACAATAATTAATCTTTCCGAATCATCACCCATCACCTGACTATCACCTGATTTTTCTAGTATATAGGAGATATCGCAAGTTCGCAGAAATCATTGCACATAATCACGTGCCTGCGGACGTGCAACCTATAAAAAAGTCTATCATTAGTCTTTTTCCCGTAAGTACCGTTCAACTATTCTGCCGAAAACAAAAGAAACAAATAAAGAAAAAAATAAACTTCGTACTAAAAAGGGTATCCTTAAAGCCAAAGCCGCCCTGGAGCTTAATATTTCAACCTATAGAAAATGTTGGTTCGTTATTCACGGAAAATCATGAAAATTATTCGGTTGGTTTTGATGTTTTACCGATCATGTTAGCATGAAATACTGTAACAGAAATATTCGAATAAATTTCAAGAAAAATTTATATATACTGCGTATATACAGTATATATATATATATATATATTGAATTAATTTAAAAGTTTACTAGTGCTTCGCACCAACCACTTCTGTAAATAATCTGTAACATGATTAAAATTATTAAATTATTTAAATTCATTAATATTTTTAATTGTAAAGATTTACCATTAACAACATTCACGTGTAACTTTTGAACAAAATGATCGAGATGCTATAATTAACGATATATTCGTATTCATTATTTTCATATTTAAGACAAAAGGTTAATATAATAACATTTATTTAATGTTATAAATTTTTATAAATAATACAGCATCGTATATACAAAAATAATACTAACTAAATGACTAATGCATTTTATAAAAAATGAAAAATAATAAACCCTTAAACTCCTTGTTGAATATTTTCGTTGTTAAGGTTTAATAATACCAGACTATTCTCATAATCTTGAGTATAATCGTCACTAGCATTTCGAAAAGAAGGAGTACCATCCATGACTTCTTCATTAAAATTATCTTGCATCATATTTCTATACAAATTTTGTTTATAAATTTCTTTAGGTGCCAAGTAATTAGTTAATAATTGCTTCAAGTGAAGTTTGAAGTGTAGTGGAGAAATTTCCTGTTGCTGATGTTGCTGAAGACTCTGCTGGTTATAATCTATATTATAAAATCTTTTATTTAAAAATTGGGCTGAGGCCAACTCACAAGTTATTCGATAAATTTTTTTCGAATCAATTTGACTATGATAAAATGCATAACTTTTAGATTGAACATAATTATAAGTTTGGTCGTTGTCATCGGTATCATTTGTTAATTGATATACAAGTTCGAAGGACATTGGTACTTCTTCACAGGTAATATGGTAATTAACGAGAAAACCCGGTGGGTTATAAAAGAAAGCTAGACTTGGAGTTATTGGCTGCATACTACGTATTTGGAAAAAGAATATAATACAATAGTTATTTAGTAAGTTATATATTTGTGGAGGTTGGAGTTAATCGATTAAAATTATCTAAACTATACTGTATGTGAATATCATAGGTTTCAAAATTAGTTTTATTTTTTGATCGGTTCCGACCTCTAGATAAGAGGAGTGTGAAAATGCTGTATTATGAGAAATAGAAAATCATATGTGATGATATAACTATTGCTTGGGTAATTTAGAGAATGATTGTATTTTATTGTAAATTAATGTAATCAATTAATAAGATTAAGAGATGAAACAGATGGTAGAGATCGGTTGAAGAATATTAGAGAATTGATGGATAGAATGAGGAAGAATTACGAGAATAAATTTTTGTATGAATGTGGTTGGTTTGTTTCTTTCTTTTTTTTGTAAAAAAAAAAAAAATAAATTTTTTTTTTTCGTTTCTGTAAGAATTTTTCTAAGCCTTTATATAAGGTTAATTTGGGCGTAAAGGCGGTGTCGCAAAATTTTTATTAATAGATTAAATGACATCCTTTTTTATCTTTTTCATTACATTATTAAATAAATACGCCAAATTTATTTGCGAAAAATGCATGATACTGTATATTATATTAAATAGTTTTATTCATGCGATTTAACGATATAACTGATTCAAGGATAGAAAAAAATTTTTTTAACGTATCGGAATTCTTTAGATATTACGACTTTTAATTAACAGATTTATCCGCACTCAACCAATTTATTCACATAGGAGTACAGCCGTATAATTATAATTCACATTATATTTTCGTTATACCGAATTTTTTGTAATGGATTATAAAATGAATATCGAAATCCACTTTATATTATTTTTCTAGTTAATATTGTAATATATAAAATGCGTGAATGAAACTTTCTGCAGTATAATAAATCTTGCTTTTGCTAATGTTCGACAAGTTTTCATAATAAATCAAGTTAGGATCCCGAAAGGTCAACGTATTATCGTTATAACTCGGTCAAAATTTGCGAAATGATAATTCGAATTCAATGAAGAAGTTAATTGGTCAGTAATTTCTAATCTCTCAATCCATTATGAGATTAATTCAGCATGTTCGTGTGTAATAATTGTTGAATTAATATCAATATTTCCTATTGCAGTATTGTTCATACGAGGTTTTGACTCATCTAGCCGATAATTATAAATTGATCGGCACTGTAACTTAAATCCAGCCCTGATGAAAATGAGTAATGTCAGCCAGTATCTAAAAAACTTATCCACAAAAGTCAAGATCTACTATGCGATTTCCGGTCGTTTGAATATTACAGTATTATTATTTCAAAAACGTGTGTACAATTTTCATATTTTATTTTTTTTAAAAAAAAGATTTGTATTCTTTTGTTAAGAAAAAAAAAATCAAAACTTACCTAAATTTGTCCATATTGACTATTTTCCTTTGAAAAGACACCTTATTTAAGTTCTTTATTTTTTTTTTTTTCAAAAAAAAAAGGGGGAAAAAAAAAAGGTTTATTCTAAACAAAAATGAACAGATGACCGATTCTGAAACGCCAACATACATCGGAATTCCTAAAAGTGTAATACTTTTTTAGGCTTATTAATAAAGTATATGAAAATATTTGAATCTGTTAGAATCAAATAAATCTGGTTAATAAAGCTTTTTTTCGTCGTTGTTGTCGATTGTTGCTGTGTGAAAATTCATTGTAAAATATTTTGAAAGCCTTTATTCGTTTATTTGTATGTTTCACAGGTTTTTGTACCAATTATTTTAAAATAGTCAACATATTTTTTCAATAAAGAAAAAGAATTTTTTTTTTAAAACAATTAGTAATCAATATTCTTTTTACAGAATTTTATATCTTAAAAAATTCTCATGAAGTACGCCCTCGATGATCACATTGTCACACTGCATTTTTTTTGCATAATTGAACAAACTTGGACGGAACTTTCCCTCAATCGAGTGACATCAAGTTTATATTATTATTCCCGATTGTTCCTACTAGTAGATCATCTAAGAATTGACATAAATCGTTATTAATGCCTTAACAAAATTTGCAGATCCTTGGCCAAACACAATTCGGAATAATTAAACTGTAAACAAGAGATCGGCGCAAAATTATGAGTTCAACGCATCACCCGAACAATGCGGGAGATGAGGAAGTAAAATTAATCAAAGAAAATCTTGATCAAACAATTAGTCTTTTATAATAATGCTCAGGGCGTACCAAATTTATACAAGATTATGTGAACCAAAGAAAATTAAGACTAAAAATGTTTAGAAATTTATTTCATTATATTTCTACATTGTATTGAGATAGAACATTAACAAATATTTTATAACCGACTAAAATTACATTTATCTGTTAGTTTAATTGTTAATTAGGAATAATTTTATATGATTAGTAAGTCAAAGTACATATTTGTTTGAGATTATCCAAAAATTATTAATTAATTATACTTTTTGATACCTTTCAAATTGGAATAAAAAAAAAATATTTACACAAAATATTATTTTGAAATCTTTTTACCTTTGATTAAGCATGAAATTTTGAACACATATTGAATATGTATAGGAAAGTTTTTTGCAATTCGTAAATTTGTCATTATTTTTGAAAGAAATTTCATATTCAATAACAAAGTAATTATTTTAACTTAATATTAATAAAATATTTACTAATCTTTATATATTATATTATTTAGCTAACCGCATTGTTTGGCAAATGTTACACACAGCTAAAAAACCCTATTAAAATATGACATGTCATTTCCAATCGAATAATCAAGGTGCGCACTATTTCTGGTACTATACTCCGCGGATCTACATTCTGATCAAATGACTTTCAACACATGATTTTTAAATATGTAATAAATTATGTCATCTCTATTCATTTTTTCACAACAATCACCTTTTCTTTAAAAATGAGGTAAATACATAATTTTACATTTTTTTTTATCTAAGGAAATTTTGTTAATGTTAATTCTTTTCTTATATAGTAATAACAAAAAAACCGAATGGACTATAATTGAGACTTTTGAAGAGGATGACTTTATTTGCATTGATTTTTATGGTAAAATACTTATAAATTTAATAAAAAATATTCCCACGTTTATAATTTTTTCTTTTTGCATTAAAATATATATGATGATTACTCAAAATTCTTTATTTCCTTTTTTTTAGAAAGAGCAAAAAAAGGGAACAATACTAGGTATGTTTTTAATAATAATTAATACCGTATATCGCAATTACTATCGTTAAAAGTAATTCAACATATGATAAAATTTATTTAATATTAATAATATATTTTGTTAATTTCATTTATAGTGATTATAAATTTGGGAATCCCAAAGTTAAATATGAACCGAATTTTGATAAAAAAAGGAATAGCCTCTTAAGTTTAAAGAATGAAGAATATTATTTAGAGTGGGATAAATATATTTCAAAATATCGAAAATCAATTTATAATGAAGAAATAGAAAATTTACAAAATCAGTTGAAAGAATTAAAAATTGTTGAAAGTAATATTGAAAGGGATCTTGATTATAATAAGAGGAACGAAAAAAAATTTAAGGAATCTCAAAATAAATATGTTGAAAATCAAATTAAAATAAAGGAAGTTGACAAAAATATAAATAATTTACTTCAAGATATTTATAAACTTAATCAATTAAAAGATATTGGAAAAGATCTTTTGGGTAATAAAATAAGTTTTGGATTATTTGATGTGGATTTTAAAACTTTACAAAATCTTCCTGCTGATTGTAAGTACTGTAAATTATTTACTGGTAAATTGCTTTGGTCTTAATTATTTTTTTTTATTTATAATATTAGTTGTGGCTTTTCCTGCGTTCCTTGTTGAATATAATCATAGAAGTGATTCAATTTCAAATACTAAAGGTGATTTGAAATATTTGGATTCTTTACCACAAGGAATTAAAGATGATATTATCAAGGTCAATATTCAAACATTTTATTAATATTTATAATATTTAAAGAAATAAAATAATTTTGAATTTTTATTATTTTAGTCAGCAAATAAGTACAACATAAAATACACGATTGATCTATTTAACGAATATGAAAAGATTCATCGTGCTAATTAATTTTTTGATGGCGAATAAAACATATGTATATATATTCTTTTTTTTATAAAAAATTTATTTCTCGCAATGAATTATAATGTACCGTATTTATTTTGTTTTTTTTTATTTGTAAATAAGTTTTTATTTTAATTAACATATAATCTTGTTAAACTTTACTAACATTTGATATAATATGAAATTTATGAGATACTGAGAAATGTATAACAGAATCTAACAAAGTTAATGGTTTACTGCGTAATCTCTTTGTGGATAAGATCCATGTGACCATGCATATAATCTATTATAGTTTTTGATTAAAATCTCGTTGGGACGAACCAATCTGTTCCACGTTATAGTTAATTTAAGTAGAAGTAGTCGTCTTTGTCTTATTATCAACAAAATTTGCGAAATCTGTATGTCAAAAAAAAGTAAACCACGTGAGAGACAGAGGACAACAGAATTTAGGAGTAACATAAATTGATGTCTTATGTAATTAGTGAAGCTTAATCTATCTGCAAAATTAAAAATTCTAGATAATGTCTATAAATATATTATCTGGCGATACTATTTAAAATATAAATTTATTACCAAATTAAACTTTATTACTCTATAAATAAATCATTGTTAAAAAAGAAATTTAATTGTAAGTTTATAATCACGAGTTACGACTCATTTTTTTGGACAAAAAAAAATTTTTTTTTCCGAAATTTATTTATTTATTTATTTATTTTTCGATAAAAATAAAACCTAATTTTCACTAAGAACTTTCAATTTAGATATTTTTTTTTGAATTTAAGTCGATTCTCTAAACATTTTGAACATTGTACCGCACATAAAATGATTTAACTCAATCTCGCATTATAAAAAACATAAACAACAAAAACTTAGAAAACTTAAACAACAAAGTCTTGTATCACCACCAAAAAAGTTATTACAATTGATGTAATTTACTACTTATCTATAATTTAAGTATTTCCGTATTATATGAAAGTGCATGATCATTTTCATCAATCGTAATATTAAAAGTTCCAAATTAACACTGATGTTATAACGCTTGGGTTTGTCTTAGAAGATAATGCAATTATATCTGAACAGTTTATCATCAAGCAAGAAAACCCTGTATTTTCCTAAATAATATCAAGATAATTCACTAAAAAGATATATAAAAAGAAGAATGAATTATTTGTTTAGTAAAAGTATCAGCTACAATATTTTTGAAATTGGAGATCAACGGAACTTATCAGACTATCATACCGAGTTATTACAAATCAAAGAAGAGCAGCAATCTTCTAGAAGACTGTAAGATATTCAGGAACAATTAGAAAATGTTACAAAGGAAGACACACAATCTTACAATAAGTGAGTTGAAGTTTCACCGAGTTATTGAACATTAGGCGCACTTGTAATAGGGTTCTTTCGATAAGTTCCTTGAAGAAGTTGCCAAACAGTTACGATAATAAGATTGAGAATTGATAAAAAATCAAGGTGAATAAAGTAATGCAAACTCAATGCTTTTTTAAGCGTAAAAGTAAATGAATCCTTATTTGAATTTTGACAATTCTGGAACGCTAAACTTGATAACATTATTTTCACTTTCACGTGTCAGTGAATAATGTTAGGACGGTTACAAAAAAATTTGTAAATCTGGATGTTGTTTACATGAGACGTCTGAGACGTGATTTTTAAGTTTACAAGTTTGTTTTATTTTAATAATATATTATTTTTATGTTAAAAAATGGTTGGTTTATTTGAAATAAATAATTATTAAACACATAGTTCCATATTGGGCCGGTGACCTACAGTACCGCAGTACGACTAAAAATCCTATAAGGCGGACTTTGATCTAATCGGGACTATTAATTATGAGTCATCTCGATTTTGATTATGACATAATTGACTAACAAATTTATATAAAAAGCCACTCCAGAAATTTTTCTTTCTCTTTCTCTTCACTCTTGTCAATAAACATTTTTTTCACAGTATTTTATCCCTTCCCTTTTTTAAAAAGTTCTTAATAAAATTTTTTAATTTTATTTTTAACTTAAATTTTTACTTTTGTTTTGTTGTGTTAATACGTCCTTCTGTCTCTCTCTCACACATTTCAGGGAAGACTTATGATCTAAGCTTATTCAAAGCCTAACAAACAAAGATGTCACATACGCCTAAGAAAGTGATGAAGTGATGTCTGAGATCAAAATTTTTGACGATATTTTCAGCAAAGCTAATAGTAAATATTTATTACTTTATTATTTTTATACTTGAATCTTTATTACAAATATTAAAAAAAAAATCTTTTTTTATTATAGAGTGTTAGGATAAAACGAAGATGAAGGCGCACATATTTTCTTAGAGAAGTTCTTGAAAAAGAGTGCGTATCAAGTATTAAAAACGCGAATTTTTTTTTTTGATGTTATACTTTAAATTTGTTATCTGACCTCTTATCATTGGATTGTATTTATTCTTTGTTTATTTATTAGTTATAGCACTATTTTGTATTGAAACACTGGACAACAGATGAAAGTTCTCTGAATAGAGTATTATTGATTTCTAGATGAGTGTAAATGGCTCAAGAGACTTTAAAAGAGGTGTGTATTTTTTTATTTGCAAAGTGGGTAACTTCCTAAG